AGGTGATTGTTGAGACTGAGGCATGTCAAGTGTGAAATCCGTACACAAGCTGAAGTTGACTGCCTGACCTAAAGCTGGCTGGCATCGCCTAATTTGCAAATCTGCCAAATTAAGCAAGGGTATTAAAAATTTTAGTTATTTCACTCTGAGAACATAGAAAAGCACAGAATATTTTCACACTTAACCCAGCTGATGTGTAGCAATAGTTTGTCTGGTAAAAGGTTTATAGATTTCTGCTGCAAACTCAGTAAAGCAATGGCAGTTTCTTTGAGGTGCTCATACCATTACAAAAATACTTCTCAATTACTTACCAAAACCAGAAACAACATCCCTGTTGTGACTGAGGTCTGGACCTGGCCTTATATAGACATTTTAGTGTTTGACTTACTTTCTACCGCTAACCGCTGTCAGCACGAGGTCTGGAGAGTATCCAAAATAATGATGACATTGTTTTTGGAAAGCCACTTGCCTGTTTATTTTTGCAAAGCTGTTTTTCAAAGCACGCAGGCAAGATGAATATCATTAGGAGGAGAAGGAGAATGAATGACTTAAGGTAATTAGGTGAGTTTTTCTACTATCCTGGTAATAATTGATCATATATTGGTTGACCACAATTCTTTATATTTGTCTTCTTTAACAACTTGTAACCTCTAACGAGTTTAAAAGAAAATGATATTATCCCTGTTTCCATTACTCACATAACACTGAGCCTATTTATCAGCTTGACAATACGCCTGGAGTCGTACCCCCTCCATGTCGTGTTGTAGTTTTTGTTGCAGGTCGTGTGGCTACGGTCATGACATGTTTGGCCCGTGAGGTCATGAACAGCAGAGGTGAAGTGTAAGTGAGGGGTTCAAGAGTTGTTTACAGTGCAAACAAGCGTTCTCATTACTACACTATGCTTTCACTGTTTGATGTAGTACTGTGCCACAACCAACTAAACACATGTGCAAGGAACACAAGCACACACACAAACACACTTCTGTTTTTACTTTATTGCTCACTGTTTTACATTTATTGCTTTATTCAGGACCTTAATTTGTTTTTGTTTGGTTGTTAATTGCTTGGAGCTGATTTTTTTTCTCTCTCTCTTTTCTTACTGTGCCCATGAATTATTTCATTTTATCAATTCTGCACCACTGTTATGAAACGTGTTACATAACACATGTGTCATATATTCTCTCTTTGTAAAGTAAGCTGGAGTCCTCACACCGGCCAACCAAAGCTATCCAAGCATGACTTTAAAACAGAACGATCGGCTTGTTGCTGTATAACCTGAACACACAAACACACGCCTGCAGGTTACATTCATGTCTGAGCCAGCCCACCTCTCAATCACAAAGCTGGGAGGATTTATGTTTGGCAAAGACAGTGAGAGACAGTGCTGGAATGCTAATGGAGTGTCACAGAGTTCAAATGACCAAGTGAAAGACAGTAATGGGAACCTTAGAGTTTCCATCATCTCTGAGACAGTCGGGACTTTCCCCATCAGATCTTTTGTGTGCGTGTGTTGTGTGTCAGCATGGAGATATATGCTAGTTTTCCAATGAATTTCTAATATATGAAAGCTGTGTATTATTATTTGAATTGCAATAAAAATAAGAAGACTCATCATCGCTCCTTTTAATTCAATTTAGCACGCAACAAGATCAAGTTTTGCACTTTGCAGTGTGCAGAATGATGTGTATTCTGTAAACCATACCAGATGATAATAAATAAAGTGTCAAACTTCATTTAGCTGAGGTGCTGATTATAGCAGCATTTAAAGCCCTGACTTCATCTTGTGAAGCTACAACCCCAGATATCTGGAGAAAATAACACACAGTGCATCAGTACATACCATATCTAAGCAGGAAATGGTTTTCCAGCTAAATTATCGTCATTTTCATATTGTTCAGATGAGGATAATTTATATGCATGTGGTTTTCTTTAACATGTAGTACTTGCGACAGAAATCATCCATACTGCCAAACTGTCCTTTACCAAGATCATGGTTCTTTCCAGCACTGGTCTATATCCAGTCTTAATCTGTGTCTTAAAAATGTATTAATCTCTCCTTTGGGGGGATTAGCAATACACCACAAAACTGAACTCTGGCAACAAACTTAGCTAAAGCATCCTGTTTTAAAATTTAAATAAGAAAAGGCTTTGTATGTTTTTGTTCTTGTTCCTCTAGGTTACAATGAGCTTCTACATCCCTGCTGTCATTTGTTACCTCCCTATGGCAGAAGTTCTGCTGGATCCCACTGAATAGTATAATGAAAAACATGAGAGCAATATAAACATGTCAGCCTGTGAGAACCAGGCCAGGGCAGAGGAGGCCATCTGAGACTCTTTGAGACGGCATGGTACTCCTTGGAGTGAAATAGAGAAAAGGGAACCATAAGTCATTCCTGTTGTTTGCATGGCCAGAGTCCACTCAAGTTAGTGCTCTCGTGCACTGTGGTCTCTACTAAGCATGCAACAATGTATTTCTCCCAATGGGTATCAATAATGATGTAACTAATTAAGGGTCCCATGTTCACCAAGCACAAAGAACAGAAACGCACAGAGCAAATGTCATTGATATTTTACACAGTTGTAGTAGCCGTTTTCCCGCCCATGCTGTGTAAAAAGCAGTTGAACTTGTGCCCAAGTTAGCGCACAGGAGGCGTGTTGGAATTATACTGAGACGCAAACTGAGGTGCACTGCTGGTGAGTTGCTATTTTTGAGACACAGAAATTGAATGAGTCCACCAACAGGTTTAGACCAACAAAAACTATATTGTCTATATTCTAAAATGAAGGATTTTTTTGTAGTAGGAATTCACACAACGTATGTAGGAGCAAACGCAGCTACACGCTAACAAACAACAAAGACACACCTAATTTTAATCATCAAACATAACTACCAGTGCCACATTCCCAAAGATGTTAATGCAGTCTGTTCAGTGTCTATAGAAAAGTACATCTCTTTTATTTTGGGAAAGGTAATGATTGTGCCTGATACTGCTTTGGCTGATAAAATATCAAAGTTTAAACATGTTTCATATAGCCGTCAGTGTGTTCCCAAAGCAAACTGGAAGTAGATAAGTTACCTGAATGGACAAAGCCGAGACTTTCTCAAAAAAAAAAAAAATGGCTGAGATGCCCAGATAAATAGCAACCTTCATGCAGGCACATTTGGCCCTTAAAGCAACTGAGAGATCTGTAACCACTCAACATTGGTAAAAATTTGCATATCTGCAAAAGCAAAAACCTCCTGGTCAAATACCTGGAATAAGAGAACTGCATGACATAGCAAATACCTACGTGGGCTGTAGTCAAAACCAGTCATATTATCTCCAGGTTTAACAGTGTGTAGGTTATCATTAAATTACGCCCTCTTTAAATCTTATGTATGGGTCACAGGTTCTTCTGAGGGCAACATTGTTCTTTTCCAGGAAGAAACACATCCATCAAATCAGACTACAAATTACTACCAGCAGATTGGCAACTGCACTAATTATAGAAACAAAACTACGATGACAGAGAAAAACTTATCAATTTGTTAGTGATTTCTAGAATGTTCAATGTACAGTAAATGCTAAATTTAAAATGTCCCTTTTGTTACTCATTTACCTGAATGGACTGATGCTCTTTGGATTGGAGTTTGTCCTCAAATATGAATAGCGAATCTTTAGACTGACTGAACCGTCAGACTCCGGGTGAGAAGGCTATACTGCTAATCTACATCTCTGGATAAACGGTAAGTGGAACATTATTATGCTTTTTTTTGTGGTTTCATGCTGTATCTTTTTTTTATTATTATTATTATTTCTTTATTTAAAAGGGATAATGCACATGAATTAACAAAAGCAACAAAGTCACACATGTAAGTGTGCCAGATTTAGCCATGCAGGCTAATTTTCATCTGCAGTCCCTAGCAGGTTGACATTTAAGGAAACATGAAAAAGCATACAGGAAAACGCAGCACAAAAACATAGACACAAGAACACATAAGCATAACAAATAAAACAACACAAGTGTTAGTTAAAACATAACACATACACATGGAAGCGATTGATAAAGCAGCACACAGACATAAAATAAAAATGTGTAACATATAGCACATTTAAATACATGAGCATTTAAACACAGACAAAAGCACCATGCACAGACAAGGAGCATATACAGTATAAGCACAGACAAGGAGCATATATAAGCACAGACAAGGAGCATATATAAGCACAGACAAGGAGCATATACAGTATAAGCACAGACAAGGAGCATATATAAGCACAGACAAGGAGCATATATAAGCACAGACTACAAGTAAAGACAAAGTACATTAATCCAGATTATGGCAGCATGTCTGATTTTTGAATAGCCATTGTTTCATAGATTTAGAAAAGGATTTCAGAGATGTGATGTTCCTTAGTTCTGTGGGTATAGTATTCCAAGTATGTGCTGCTCGATAAGAAAAGACTGAATGCACAAAAATGCTTTTTATACATGGAATTTTACAATCCCCTCTTGCAGATGCTCTGGTAGATGTGTTTAGATTTTGTTTAATGAATTCATTGAGTGGAGGGGGAGCCATACGATGAAAAATGTTATATACAAGTAAAATGTCGGCTAATTTAATCATGTTTTCCCAGTTTAATAAATTATATTTAGTTAGGATTTTACAATGATGATATGAGTTTGACTTTTTATCCAACGTTTTTAAGGTCTGTTTATAAAGTGTCTCAACTGATTTTCTTATCAGTTTGACAAAATACTTATTCATGCATGTTTCTTTTACCACAGAAACTGTGACTTTATAAAGATTGTACCTAAATATAAACTAGTACAGCACTTTTCTGCTGCTTGAAATGCTAATGTGAAGCCATTTCTTATGCTTTGATTCCTCACTCTTACATTAGGTGACCATGCCATTTCAGCGTGTCTGTGGAGTATTGGTAATCCTCAGCGCATGTCTGATGTCATTCACGCCACCCTGTGATGGAGGAAACATTCTTGTGTTTCCTTTAGATGGGAGCCACTGGATCAACATGAAGGTCCTGCTGGTAGAGCTCCATGCCTGGGGACACAACCTGACAGTGATCAGAGCCTCAAACAGCTGGTACATTGAAGAAAAGTCTCCCCTCTATACATCCATTAGCCTCACAATGGAAGAGAGCATGGAGAATTATTTTGATGATTTTGTAAAGGAGAATATAAAGGTAAATCATGATGAATCATTTAGTTATTTGTGTATCCACTTGAATTTAGTTTTTCACTGTTTCTCTTTCTCATTTCTGACTGTTTCTTTCAGGTGCAGAGAGAGGGGGCATCGTCACTTACTGTCTTCAAACTCATCAAGAATTTCAATTCCATGGTTCTGGAAGTGCATAAATTGTGGGTTAATATGACTGCTAAACTCTTTGATGATGAAAAATTGGTCAAAAGCTTACATGATGCCAAATATGATCTTGTTCTAACTGACCCAGGTGTGGGGACGGGAGTCTTTTTAGCCAAGTATCTGAAACTGCCCTTGGTGCTCAATGTTCGCTGGATCACTTCAGGGGAGGGCCACTTTGCGATTGCCCCCTCACCCCTCTCCTACATCCCAGCGCCAGGATCAGGCTTAACAGACAAAATGAACTTCATCCAGAGGGTCAAGAACATACTGTTCCAGAGTGTTATTGAATACCAGCAAAGATTTGTGTTGGGGCCAGCATATAATACCCTCTGTGATAAATACATTGAGGGGGAATGCAATATCATGTCACTTCTCCAGGAAGCAGACATTTGGCTGTTCAGGTCAGATTTTGTGTTTGACTTTCCTCGACCCACGATGCCAAACGTGGTCTACATAGGAGGGTTCCAGGGAAAACCAGCTCAGCCTCTGCCAGCAGACCTGGAGGAGTTTGTTCAGAGTGCCGGGGAGCACGGAGTGATCATCATGACTTTGGGAACTTTGGTTAATGCTTTGCCTGAAGACCTTGCTGATGAAATCGCTAGCGTCTTTGCCAAGATGTCCCAGAAGGTAAGACATGAACAGTGATTCACTACAAAGTCAAGAGATAAAAAAATAAATTACTTCAGTATGTAATCCAAAATAGTTTGACCCGTAGTAAAAGTAAACAAGAAGCAAAAGTAAAAGCAATGCTTATTTTCAAATTCAGAAATAAGTTATGTCTAAAACTGAACAAATCAGTCCCAAAATAAATTCTTCAAACACAAAAAGAGATTAATAGCCTAATGATAGACTGGCAAAAGTCTAGTGAGTTGCTAAGAGTCAGAATTCAACTTCAATTTTACCAAAAAAATGGATGCTGTGAATCAAGGACTCAATAACTTCCTGAAACCTAACCTCATACTCTGTCTTTTGTTATTTTTCTTGCTTCTTTTATATATTGTTCAAATCTTTGAGCATCATCAAAGGTGTTCATTTTGAATTTTTCTAATTATTTGAAAACGTTTGTTTAGTTTTCTAACTGGTGTCATGGGTTATTTCCTTTATTCAATACAGTCGAAAGAGCTGCAGCAACATTATAATTAATTTTGTCGCGTAAAGATGGAAAATAAATGTATAATTCTTTTCTGGTCAGGTGATATGGAAGCACAAAGGGAAACGACCCTCTACTTTGGGGAACAACACCCTAATAGTGGACTGGATGCCCCAGAAGGACCTCCTGGGACACCCACAGACCAAAGCCTTTGTAGCTCACGGAGGTACCAACGGAGTCCAGGAGGCCATTTACCACGGGGTCCCTGTGCTCGGCATACCGCTGTTCTTTGACCAGTTTGACAATCTGCTACGCCTGCAGGAGAGAGGAGCTGGAAAGATCCTTGAGCTAGCTCATGCCAACAGACGCAGTTTTGAGCAAGCCATCAATGAAGTGCTCCATCAGGACAGCTACAGACAGAACATTCAAAGGATGTCGCGTCTGCACAGAGATCAGCCGATAGCACCCATGGATCAGGCCGTGTTCTGGGTGGAGTATGTGATACGCCATAAAGGGGCTCCTCACCTTCGTACAGAGGCCTATAAGATGCCCTGGTACTCATACTACTCTTTAGATGTACTGCTGGTATTGATGACGGCAGCAACTGTGCTGCTGCTCTCTACTTTTGCAGTTTTCAGGTTCCTATGCTGCAGACAAAGAAGAAAGTCCAAAACCAAACAACACTGATTCACGTCAGCAATTATGCATATAAAGTATTGTTCATGAAGTTAATTGACATTCAAGTGATTAAGCAATGTTGTTAAATCAGTAAAAGTGATTTTGCTTTTTCTTGCTTTTGAATCATTGCTCAGCTGCTGATCACGATAATGAGCTAAAAAGTCCCACTTAAGTCAGTGTTCAACTGTTTTCGGGTAAAAAATTATTCATAGTCTATTTCAGTTAAGTCCTACAGTATCCAAATAATAGAACACTCTTTCCATACAGGGTGGCAGACAATCAATAACTTTGTCAGTGTGTTTAATTGGGGCATTTGTTCATGCATGAGTGTCATCCAATCATGTACGCACTTTTCTCTGAGGGGTTACTCGTATGTCATGAAAGTAGAGAGAAATCTGATTCTAATGCCAAGGGCATTTAAATTCCACACCAGTGGTTTGGCTTCATCACTGCCATCACCTACAGGAGGGCAACACACAGCCAAGGCTGTCAAAAGAAGAAAAACAATATCAAACCATGAAACAAATAGAAAGTATCATTGACTTGTGGAAACTAAAGACTTGGCTAAGTCTGGTTTTGACATTGTGGTTTCATGATTGGCTGCTCATAAAAGTCACAGGGTATTTATAGTGTGATTTTGGCCTAGAATTGATTAGGGGTATTAGGGTAAATGTTTGTATAAAATAGCCAAAGCCAAAGGCATATACAAAACAGAAAATTAGGATTCACTTTGGTTTTGAAAAAGAAAATCTTCTCTCAAATGAAGACTGATTACATTTGGCATGATCCTAATAGCTTTAAGCAAGTTTTTCCCTCTAAATAGTTTTGTGATATTTGGTAACAAGATAGCTTAATTACTGTAATTGAAAACACTCCATAACAGAGCAATCGATGTCTTTGACAGTACATGGAAGCAACAGTTGTATGTCTTTGGGGTCAAAGCAGTGATTTAACAAAAAGAGAGAGTTATGTAGTTTGGGTGGGGGGGAAGTCAGCCTCCAGCGCTCGCAGGCAGCTGTAGATCAGCCTTAAAACCAGATACGACTGAGATGTCAGAGGCAGACTGACAGACAGAGGAGGAAACACTAAGACTGGATATAAGGTGTCAAAGTTCAAGCTTTATGATTGAGGGGTTGTCCTCAGGTAATCTTCAAGCTTTAACTGGTTCACAAACATTAAGCCATAAGACATTGAAATGGTCCACTGTAGGTTTCATGCGTCAGAGTTTCTCAATCATTGACTTTTTCCCTCCTGAGGTTTGAGTATATCATTTTGGGAATTAAGCAGGATTTACATTACTTTATGCATTTAAATGTTGTGCTAATCGATTGTTTTTCTTTGGTTTTGCCCATAAATGAGTGGACTGTTGCATTCCATTAAACCAGCTATACAGTCCCAATGTGTTGATGAGTGTATGACTCCATGACTATTATGAAAGGCTGATGTGGTGAAAATGCTTTTACTTGTAACTTTTCCAAAGGCAGTTCTACAGCATGGTGCAAATAAAACTAGTAACTTAGTCTTCTGACACATGCTTGTGATACCTACCAAGACGAATACTTAAAATAAAAATGAACAATGACAAGTTAAACTGATTTAATTTTATGTTTTTATTTGGGGTGATTTTTAGGGACAGCAAAACAAGCTTTGGACACAACACTGAGAATCCATCACCTTTCACTCTGTTGATACATTGATACATAATCATACACTCATTAGCGAACATTTGCTAATTTACACATCCAGCAAATAGAGAGTGAAATTTGAGTTTCAATTGGTATCCAGCATGCTGAAGTATCAATTACTGCTTTCACACTTAAACAAAACTCCTGAAAGTCTTTATAATTGTACTTTTTGCACTCAAAAAGACACTCCCAAAAGAATAGGTTCATATTTGTACTTCCTGCGCTTATCAAGCAGGCGGTGCTGTTTGTGTCATGACCTGGTCATGACATCCAAACACGTCTGTACATGTCCATCTGACTCAGCCCATATCTTACCCTGCATCATTCCAGATATTGCAGCAGGGAGATTTTGGGATTTCAGGGAAAGGTTCTTCATAAATTCTCTCGAAATTTTCAGGAGTTCTGTCCGACAGTGGGTGTGAGCCTCTTACTGTAAGACTGTGTCAAATTCACTGGATATTTTGTTCATGGAAAAAGGGCAGGTCTTTAAGGATCAAATCCAAAATTGTTCAAACAAATTTGGAAGCCCTCAATGAGCACAGTGACTTAAAACAAAAAGGAGATAACGTCTTTGACAAAGCTTTAAGGTGAGTAATTGCTTCTCATGGATAAAAGATGAATAAAGAATGACTTTGCCAATGTTTTAGGTATTTTAATTAACACATTCAACTTTTTTTCTTTCCAAAAAGAAAACTTGAACAAAGGGTTCACCTAGTGTATTTTCCTAATGTTTCCTAAGCTTGAATCATGTAACAATTCAAATTCATCTGCATTAGCTTTAAATTATGGCTATTTAAATCATCAACCCTTCACCTTAAAGCATCTAAATGAAATAATCTCAACAAATTTATCTTGCTAAATGTTGAATCATTAACTTAAACATGTCTCTGAAGTCAGGAAGCTAACCCAAGTCTCCATGGAGCCATTGTCTCTGTGTGTAAGCCAACCCTGTAATATATTTGGCAGTGGGGATTTAGTTAGGGATGACTTTGAGAAAAACACACTCCAAAAATGTGTGCCAAGATGGCGTCTCAAAGAAATGAAAGCCCTTGTTTTGCAGAAGGAGCTATGCTGTGTCCTTCCTCTATTTAATACTGTCAAAATCGAACATATGACATCAGAGCTTCCATTGACAGTTATGGAACTGATTACTTCCACTGGCCTTTTACATTACTTATGGTGATCTGAGCTTTCTTCTTACAGGACCTTATGTGAGTTTAAAAGTCCAGCAACTAATTTTCCTTTTTAGTTACATGGCAGCACTTTCCACACGTGAAATCCAGCCGGTTGTTTCCTGAAGTTAATCGGTTCAGACAATCATAGCAGGGAAGCAGGCAGAGCGGTAATGGAGTAAACTTGTCACCATGTTGGAAAACAGAGGACATGTGCTCACTCGCTGGCTCGTTGCGTGTTTCCCTTGGCTTGGACCTCATGCTGTGTTGTCCCATCAGGCCATTGCTGTCTGAAATTAATTCTGGCTTTCTCTCCCTGTCTCTCCCTGTCTCTCCCTATATATACATATCTCTCTCTCTCTCACACACACACACACACACACACACACACACACACACACACACGTACACACACACACCACACAAACGAACATACAACACTGGCTCTGTTTCCAGCTTATGAAATGTTGCAATGTGTTGACACAAAGTCACAGGTTTGCCCACACATAGATATAATCAGTTATGGTGAAATATTAATTAAAACCACCACATTATAGACATACATAAAGTTTAAATTAAAGAGATGAAAAACTTTGCAAAACATCAACCCGAGGGAAACAAACCTGAGTCATCTTTGACTCACAGATAGCTTGCCAAGTCTGACATTCCCAGATGTATCCTCAAGGATTTAGCCTTGCACACCTTTTTAACTGCAATCCATGATAATGATTCGACTGATCACTGCCTGAAACCTTGAAGGCCCGTTTCAAACACTTTGTTCTTTCATAGGTTTTGAAGCTCAGACTTTTATCGAAGATCTTATTAATTCGCCTCCCTTAATACGAAGGACAGCATAGTTTGCCAGGACTTGTATTTATAGCTTTTATCTTTCTTAGTCAATTAGGTGTCATTTTTTTTACGAAATACTCCAGGTTTTATTTATTGGGAGAACTTTACTTTGTCTTTAATCTCTTTTTTAAAGTCAGTGTTGGACCTTGACACGTGATAAGGTCAAAAGCTTTAATAACAATGATTAATAATTTACTTAAATTGTTTCCCATGGTCGTCAAATTAAAATAATTTGTAATACTCTTTAATCCCACACTTACTAATCTCATTAAACCAGAGGAAATCCCCACTGACTGGCTCTTCAGACACTTTTTTTCCCATGTGTTTCAATGAGAACATCCTTAAGCCCTTCATGAAAAATGTGATGAGTTATTATTGTTATTGCTCCTCTCTGGCAGGCTCAACACTTTAATTCAATTAATTACTTGAACTGGCTGTGTTATTTTTGTGTCCATGACACCGATGCAAATAGTTCCCTGCATGGAAGGTTGTGAAAATAAAACATGAGCATATTGCTTAAATTCTTATTTCTTAGTCAACAGAAGGTTTCAAAGCAGTTTGCTGCTTGTTCGCTTGCATGATCACTGAGGTGTTGCTTGTCGACAGGCAAGGCTGGCAACTGCTTGGGGCCCCAGACCAGTAGGGGGCCCCCTGAGTGCTCACAAACTTTAAACCAAAGCAGTGGCTCAAAATGTGCAAATTATTCAATTACAGTATAGGAAATCTTCCTTAAGGGGGGCTCATCTGACAAAATGAAGAGAAATTATCCGTCTATAGGAGAGAAAAAAGAAGCAGGAAAGAGAGGAAGAGGAGCAAACGTCAGGACACTGGCAGACAAAATGGTGATGAATGTTTTTGCCTATAGGGCCCCACCAGACTCTAGAATCGCCACTGCATGCTCATATTCACAAGATCATGATTTTGTCATTGACTGTCACAGTATTCTAATAATGGAGATTTAAATAAATGATTGTTGAGAACTGTAGATTAAACAATCCCCTGTGGACAAACAGTGTCTGTTATTGCTTTGCTGATGTGATCCTGTAAATAGTGATTTTTGCTTTTTACCAAACTTATTCTGCTGACTTTTAAAAGACACATTTTTGATTAATTGAGAATATTTGCTGTTGAAAATGTAGACAAAGGCTATTCCCACAGTGTGCTCTTAAACAATTAATTTGACACCTACCCTGCAGCAGCAATTACAGCCATTTAAATTAACAACATAGAAGAAGTCAACCTTTATGCCGACATTCTAGTTTGCTTTTATAGCTCATATAATCATCAATATTAATTTATTTCT